GATCCTCTAACAGTCTCTTTCCTATGTGCATTAAACCAATCAGCTGTCTTTTTAACTATCGCATCCAGCAACGGTATCAAAGAGTATTTCCTCGCGTCTTTGAACACACTGTTCATCGACTCCACAACGTTGCTTGTGTCGATGTTGTATCTATCTCCTGGAAACCAACACCTTGCCCACTTTTCTTTCTCACTACTTTCCTCAAGATATTTCGCAGCAGATGGATACCGAGTCTTAAAACCAGAGTAAGCAGCCTCAAATTCCGGCACTGTGTACATCCGCGCAATTTCCATAAATCTACATTCAACGACATCCTTGTTGACGTTACTTACACGACCTTTAACATTTTGCGCCAAATGCCATATACAATGCCCATGATGAGCCATCGGAAACACATTAGCAATGGCGTTGATGAGGCTTATATTTCTGTCACTCATAAACACCAACTCCGATGAATCCGGCACAACAGTTTTCAACATCTCAAAAAACCAACTCCAACTCTCCTTATTCTCACCATCTAATACACCAAAAGCTAAAGGATAATGGTGCCGATTAGGATCCTGTGCCGTCGCAAAAACTAGTACACCCCCATACCCATTTTTGAGAAATGTGGCATCCACGGTTATCACTTTCCTCATCACTTGAAAACCTTCTATGCTAGCTCCCAGAGCGATGAACACATACTTGAATTTCTCTGACTCATCCAACTCTACACTTGTTATTGTCCCATAATTCACCTTCTCCAACATGTACAAATAACAAAACAGCATCTCGTAACTTTCTTCCGGAGTCCCACGCAAAACGTTTACAGCTTCGTTTTTACCTCGCAAAGCTGTGGAGTAGGATACATGCACACCCAGTTTGTTCCACACCAGTTCAACAATGGTTTTAGGAGGAGGAGTTTCCATTTGTCCGGGATAATCATCATGCAATATCGATGCAACTAGCTGTGGTGTGCCTTTCCTCCTTGAGTTGCATTTACTCTGACTTGCCCGAGAGCATGTATGCATGTTGTTGTACGTTCTAATAGAGAACACTTCACTCCTTTTAATCTTCGAAGCTCGTATACCCCATTTACAACCTTCCTTAGGACATTTTAGCACTAATCGCTCTTTATCGGATTTTACAACGTCAAACCCAAAACTTTTCGAGCATGCGCCACGATCCACTACTTCTTGCACTGCCTTTTTACTACCAAACTCTTGTTGTATTTTCAACCCCAGACCGTCTTCCCATTCCTCCATAAACTCAACCGGGTTGCTAAGAGGAGGAGCTTCCAAATATCGAGTACTCTCAAAATATCTGTCACCCATTTCTGTGTCTTGTCTATCATTTTCATCCGTTTCTCGAACAGCAACAGCATTTTCATCCTCTTCCCGAACAGCAACAGCATTTTCATCCTCTTCTCGAACAGCAACACCATTTTCATCCTCTTCTCGAACAACAACAGGCTCTTCTCGAACAGCAACACCATTTTCATCCTCTTCTCCAACACCAACAGCATTTCCACTACCTAAGGAACTTCGTTTACCGGCTCTTGAGAGTTGCTCCGGGAGTTCTTCTCCACCATTCCTTTCATCAACCTTTCCACTACAATTTACATCCAAATCTACTTCTTCATCAACTGCTTCGTCGACTTCTTCTATCATCTCCTCAATCGCCACTATTCCTCCCTCCGATTGATTTTGACGAACTTCATAGTTCATACCTAAGGAACTTCGTTTACCGGCTCTTGAGAGTTGCTCCGGGAGTTCTGCTCTTCTGCTGATTTCCACATACAATATGCACCTACGGTTCTCTCTATCAATGGACGATAGATATCCGCAAAGGTCTTCATCATCGGAAATGACAAAGTGTTCCTCAGACCCAACCAGCAATGGAATGTAACTCAATTTAAACTTCACAGAACTTTCATCAAACGCAAGCTTCTTGCATATACGTGCTTGTAACATTGCAAGAGTTATATCATTCGCTTCACTCTTAAACACTAAACAATACATGTTACCCTCGCATCTGAAATGTATGATGATGTTGTTGCTCATGGGATCCTGCCAACATCAATAAATACCTACCNCTCGCATCTGAAATGTATGATGATGTTGTTGCTCATGGGATCCTGCCAACATCAATAAATACCTACCATTCATTAGCTATAGACAAGTGTGATACCACCAAAATAATTTAATAAATGTACACTTTTTCAGTACTACTAGTATTACTAGTTATACTACAGTTCAGTAATACTAATACTAGTTTCACTAGTAATCCTCTCTTAACGCTTATTTTCAATCCTACATTCAATGTAATTCAAACAATGATTTCACTCAATCAATGCAACTAATCAAACAATGCAACTACTTTCCTACTCAATTCAGCTCATATAATGGACAGATGAAGATACGGCTTATCAAACAATGCAATTACTTTCCTACTTTCCTACTCAATTCAGCTCATCTATACAAATACCCGTTTTCAGCTCACAGGGGATGAGACAGATGAAGATACGACGGCAGACGACGGAATACCAACCCGGAGGAGTTCGACTGGAAGAGAAGAACCAAAGCGAGTTTAACCAAATCTCAGGAGAGGAGAGCTGTTGAAGTGAGGAGTGAGCTCGAGTGAGCTCAGTCGAGTGAGAAAACGCAAATATCGAACCGCTCCCGCACAACCGCTACTTACAAACCCAGCAAATCAATTTACAAACCCAGCAAATCAATTTACAACCGGTTTCGGTTATGTCTTTTTCGATTTTTCTTTTATTCTTTTTCTTTTTTCCTGAGGCCAATTTCGTAATTCCCTTTCCTTTAATGAAATAGAGGGATATTGAGATTGATAGAGGATATAGTCGATTTAAAAGTTTTGAATAAGGGCGTCTCAGACGTTGCCTCTACTGGTAGAGACTTCTTATTCTTCTTCTATTTAGATTTCGGCCGCGAACTCAAAATATTTATTCGGCTTGTATTAAAACTTTCAGCCCACAGAATAATATCCTGTACATTTTGGGTCTCTATTAAACCTCAGGCCCATTAAATAGCAGTTTTAAATGTAAATACGTTTGGTAACGAACTTATGTGTTTTAGCTCCAATACAAACTAAACACACAAATCTTTTTGATTAATGTTATGTTAGTCGTAAGCTTTCCCTTATATGTATCTTACTAGGCATGGCATCTGGAAGAATATTAGAATAAAAATCATAAAATTGTGATGAAATTTATGTAACAAAGAAAAATTGTTTTACATATCTGTATCAAACATCAACTGATTTATAGAAAACAAAATTATGCATGAGCTGAAGAACCAATACATCGTCGGAAAAATGATGATAACCCGCAACCAGGCTTGCTTCGTGTTGGAGATGAAATGTTTGTTCCTCGGCGTATTTCAGAAAAATATGAAGATGGCGATGATGAAGAAGATGAACTACTTGATTTTTGTATTTGAATGTTATCTCCAGGACAATTACTATTTTTACCGTGATGTTCTCCTCCGTGTTCTTGATTTTGAAGATTTTCTCCACCTCTTTGATTTAAAATGAATTGATCACCCCATATTCGACCTGAAGAACCTTGACGTCGGAATGAAACTGCTGATCTTTGTAAACTTGTCATAGTTTAGTATAGAACTCTTGAGAATAACAAATTTGTTTTGATTTGTGGTTGTTGTTTGTGTGTGTATATATGAACCTATTGAAAGTGCTTGAACTTTTGAGAGTTTAAATGTTTTCTCCTTATCTTGTTTGAGATAAGATTTACAAAATTAGCAAAGTTTAAAAATAGGTTTGATCAAGTTTTATTTTAGTGCAGACATGCTAAATTAAGATGTGTTTATACATAAAATGAATTTTTCATATTTAGTCTGAATTTGTCCATTTATTTTTTAAAAAACTATTATCTAGAAGTATAAATCTAATTCAAAAAGAGATATTATCTGATATGTCTTCCATTAAAACCGGATGTTTCTTTAAATAGATGTAAAATTTTATGATTTATGATTCATTTTTTAAGGGTTTTATTTTATTTATTTTTATCTAAAGATAAATATACATTTGAGATAAATATCTTAAGCAAAACTTGTAGGTTGTTCATGTAATACAGACCAAAATTGGTCAAGATGGTGTAATTAAGAAAACTACCAAAAAAATACCGTTTTATCATTTTACAGCTGTACTATATATTCAGGAAACAAAAAAAAAAAGGAAATAATGAAAACGATAAATGTTAAAAATGGAAAGACGTACAATAAAAGGAAAATATGAAATCTTTTAAGAAATTGAAGAAAAGGAAATTTAACTCTATCGTTGTATATATCTATATAACACAACGGAAGAGTATATATATGTGATTATTGCATAATACGTTCTACAACCCTATTTTGATTCGAGTGTGAAACTTTTGTTCTTATCTAAAGTGATCTTTTGTGTGTTCTTCTAAGATGAAAATTTTCGCGAGTAAACGTCTCCGTCAAGGAATCTCTAGGGTCTACCCTGCGTTGACGTTCCTATCACGACCACCCTCCTCAACGATGATGATTAAATCTCAGTCTGAAGAAAACCTAAGCAAACTGAGCGAGTGTATGGACAATATGGATGACGATGTCTCGAAGATGTTCATGGAGTGTCATCAGACAGACTTCCGTCAAGACCCCGAGTTGATTCGTCTTCTCAACGATTACTTCACCACAAGCAAAGCAGTCACCGAGCTCTGCGAGTCTCTGCGTAAGTGCTTGGAGAGAGCCGAACAAGACGAGTGTTTCTTGATCGACGAGACGTTACGTGATTTCCACGAGGAGGAGAAAAACAAATCCAGCTTCAGGAAAACATTCCGAGACCTCACGAAGTTGAGCAACGACTACGGAGATGATGTTTTCTCCGGTGACTTTCTCAGGAAGCTTGAGATCTGTCACCGAGATTTGGGCAAGATGATCATGAAGCTAGAGTCTACGATGAAAGAAATCGACAAGAAGCTGAGACGCTTACGAGGAGGGAGAGCGATGGTTGCGGCGGCGATACTTGCTCTAGTGGCCGTGGGAAAAATCGTGGCCGGAATCTTTGTACCTGTTCCGGTTGAGGCAGTGACTAAGTTCGCTGCTTCGAGGTGGAGGGAGTCGACGGAGACTCTGAAGCGGGAAAAGACGGCTGTGACGTCGATGGAGAGAGCAACGATGGTGGCTCTCAAGGAAGTTGAGAAGATGAGTAGACTGGTGAATAGGTTAGAGGCGGTGGAGAGATCCATTAGACTAAAGGCGGACATCGCCGTTAATAGACGGTCGTCGGTGGCGTTTGCTATGGGAGGGATGGAGAAGGAACGGAAGGTGTTTAAGTCAACGCTCGTTGAGTTAGACAGAGAGACCGGACGGTGCGATGGGTTTGTGGAGTTTGGGCGTACATTGACTCGGGACAAGATCTTTCAGTTTCTGTCTTGCGGTGAGAAACGGTAACAACAACCAACTTTGTTGAGTTCTTTAACTATTGTTTTGTATGATTTGTCCCCAAGAAACATTTTGTAAAAAGCTAATGAAAATATATATGTTCTTTGATGAGTACGTAGCTACTCTTTTCAAATGTATTGTTCGGGTTATTTGTAATATGAATATTAGCTAGTATTTACAACTTTTGTTTCGAACAAGAGTATTCAAATGTTTCTACAAGGAACTATGCGATACCTTTAAGACAAGGGCAACATTATCAATGGTCCTCAAATAAGAGACTTTACGGATGTCCCTTTAGCGTTTTTAGTTAAAAGTTAAGGGACTTTTCTGTTAAGGGACTCAACTTGAAAACCATTGATAATGTTGCCCTTAGCTAGTGTCCAAAGTTCTTGTTTCCAATCTAAAATGAAAATCTACTGTACGACGCACTACTTTTTCCTTAAAAGTCTCGTTACATAAAATAATGTTCATCCCAAGTCTAAGTATTTTTTTAGTGTCTAAGTTTGTAAACGATTTTTCTTCTTTCGTCTCTTGCAAATTTGGAGAAACGATAGAGTTATACATGTAATGTCAAACAACCAGCTTCGATCGAGGAGAAGAAACTATATATATAGAGTTTTTATTTTATGTTATTTGTCTACCACTGGAGAAACCATTTTTGAATATAGTCTCTTCTTTGTATTCCTTTGCATTCAATACGTAGAAAAGAATAGGCAGATATACTGGTTACATATAGGTCTATAAATATATATTAGTCTACTCATGTGTACTTGCCTACTTGGTATCCGACTAAATCAAAATCAACTGGCAACTATTTTTCAGCTAGCATATAATATATTAAAACATAAACCAAGTTGTATAAGTTGGATACGTTTGCTTACGTTTGATTGATGCATTTTGAATATCCAAAAGTCTACAACGAAGAACTATGCGGGATAAAAATAAACTAATGAAACTTGATAAAGGTCAGTAAGACTTCATCAGGCTGAAGCTATGCTTCATATAAAAAATCATATAGCTAACCTAACGAATCAGTTGGTGGTAGATTCTCATAATTTTTAATACAGAGAGTATCAGACTAGCCAGAAAGCCTGATATGACAGAGATTGTCTTTTGGTTGGAACTCTTTTTAACTGTATGCAAATACTTTACGGAATAAGGAAAAGTTGGAAAGCAACCAAAAAGCTAAATTACATTTGGTTGTGTATCTTAGTGCATATTCTCGAATCCTAGATCTTATCTTTTCATCGTTCTTTTAGACCAGATATATAATAGGAGAACCTAATAGTGACATATGTAACGTAATTGAGTGACACAATGGACCATTTTTGATACTTTTTTAGTTAGGTAGCAATCACATATTAATAAAACATCATTACTATTTACTAGTAGTATTATTATAAGCTCAAGCACCATAATATAACGTCAAGGTGTGGGTCCAGAAAATGCTGACTAGAAATTTTGAAAAGGAGAGCATGTTTGTATTTATTCTTAGAAAAATTAAAAAAAAAAGAACGAAACGGGCCACAGTGATGACTGACTGGCCCTTCTCTCTGTCCTCGTGCTTCCTCACCGCTCCGTTAAGATATTTTTTTAATTTAATGTTCATATATTTCCTTCCCAATTCAGCAGGAAAGCATTATCGCTACTACTCTGCCTTGTGATCATTATTCATTTGTTTCGCTGGTAAAGTCTCTCCTTATTCTCTGCGAGATCTTCTTCTACTGTTTTTTTTTCTAATATTATTTTCCATCAGCGTATCTTCGTTTTTAAAACTGAATAGATTTAGTGAGGTTTTTGTTTGATTTTGTGAATCTGTAATTCTAGAGAGAGAGAGGATACGTCGGTGTATAACGAAAAGAGGAAGAGGTAGAGAGAGAGAAAGGAGAGGAGAGAATGGAGGTGGAAGAAGGAGGAGGAGGAGGAGGAAGTGGGAAGATAAAGATAGGAGTATGCGTCATGGAAAAGAAGGTGAAGTGCGGCTCCGAGGTTCTCTTTCCTTTTTTTTTTTTAAATTGTTACTTCTGTTGCTGCTCCTCCCTTGTATGTTGTATTTCGTGTTATCTTCTTCTACTCACCAGCTACAGATTCGGATGCTTTCTTTTTAGCCCTCTTTTAATTCTGATACGGTATCTAGTTTATTTTTACTCATAGATTGTTCGTTGTTGTTGTTGTTGTGGGGTTTATAGGTATTCTCAGCTCCCATGGGGCAAATTCTGGACAGGCTCGAGTCCTTTGGTGAATTCGAGGTGAGCTTACTCCTCACGGGTTCCATTTTTTATCTGACATTTTCTGGTCTATATCTTATAAGTAGTTTGCTATTTTAGTCTGGAGAGAGGTTGCTTTTGTTTTAATTTACTTGTACTTTGTGATTCTTGGCTATTTGTTATTGGAAGTAGATGATTCCTTTTTTCCTTTCTTCCACTTTACTAGTTGCTGCCCTTTGTTTGCCAAAAGAAAAGTTGTTGACGCTTGTCTTTGTAGATTCTCTGCTGTATTCTTTTTCATTTCTGATTCCACGGACAACTTTATTCACAGATTTTACATTTTGGGGATAAAGTCATTCTTGAAGATTCAATTGAAAGGTTTGCTTTTCGCTTTTTTTTTTTCTACTTTTGTATCATCTTCATTTCTTGTTTCATTATTAGTCTACAAGGTGGTATATACTGGAATCAAACCTTGACCTAAGCATTTGCTATTTCAGCTGGCCCATTTGTGATTGTTTGATTGCTTTTCATTCCTCTGGATATCCTCTTGAAAAGGCTCAGGCATATGCTGCTTTAAGAAAGTGAGTTTTTCTTTACTTTTCGCTCAGTAAAGTGCTTAGCTTACCGTTAATGTCGTCAACTCATGAGTTGACTTCTCTGACTTCTGTTATTCAGGCCATTTTTAGTGAATGAACTAGATCCACAGTATCTTCTTCATGATCGCCGCAAGGTGTATGAGGTATGCTTGTTAGACTGCAATAAAGTTGGTAATGTTACATCCTTTTTCCTTGTACTAACGGATATAATTTTTCTGTGCATCTACAGCACCTTGAGATGTATGGCATCCCAGTTCCTAGGTATGCTTGTGTCAACAGAAAAGTACCAAATCAAGACCTCGATTATTTTGTCGAGGAAGAAGATTTTGTTGAGGTTCATGGTGAACGCTTCTGGAAGCCATTTGTAGAAAAGCCTGTCAATGGTGAGTTTCTCTTTTTATCATGCACTGGTCTACCACCTTATTATCTATTTATCCATAAGGACAAGTCAAACTTGAAACATAATCATAGAAATGTTCTGTATTTCTATGATTTTTCGAAATCACATTCTCTTTAATCTGTTATCACCTTCTGTGCCATGTAACTTATAGAGTAACCTGAATTTGGTAGACCGCTATGATTTTTGAAGCCTATATTCTCATTTAGTGTTCTTAGTTGTTATATAATATCCTCCTTGTTCTATTTATCTCCTGTTTTGCATATTTTATTTATAATTATCTGCTGAGAGTTTAAATTCTGTGCGTTTGCAGGAGATGACCATAGTATCATGATATACTACCCTAGCTCCGCAGGTGGAGGCATGAAGGAATTGTTTCGCAAGGTATTTCTACAGAACTTGGCTGCTCTTGATTGAACTGTTTATATTTATAATATATTCATAATAATTTGTGGCAGATTCCTCTGATTGACTCTTTTCCAACTAATGTATTTTGTTTGTTCCCATTTTACTTTAGATCGGGAATCGATCAAGTGAATTTCATCCTGACGTCAGAAGAGTTAGGAGAGAGGGTTCCTATATATATGAGGAGTTTATGGCTACTGGAGGAACTGATGTCAAGGTTGTGATTGTTTTCCTATTAGACCGTTCCCATCTTTCGGACCACCTACCTTTCTGAGAATATTACAGTGTTTGTTATTGTACTGTTGCTGGTATCAAGTGTCCTAAATGTAGATAGTTGTCGTGTTAATGACCTATGTTTTTTTTTTTATATATAAGGAATGACTTCCGACCAGCTGATGTAGCTTCTGTTGTTGTTTGTCTTGTTTTTTTTTTCCGTAAACTTGGCTTTCAAGAGTTCTCAGTTGATATTCTGCTTGCTAAATACAGGTCTACACAGTGGGTCCTGAATACGCACATGCTGAAGCAAGAAAGTCGCCTGTCGTTGATGGTGTTGTTATGAGGAATACAGATGGCAAGGAAGTACGTCTATCAATCATTACCCTGTAAAATGAAATCTAACATTATCTCATCACCAAAGAGATATAGTTTATGTTTAGATTTTGATCAGTTTTTTTTTTGGATATTTTATTGAACAGGTGAGATATCCAGTGTTGCTTACACCTGCCGAGAAGCAGATGGCTAGAGAAGTTTGCCTTGCATTTAGGCAAGCGGTATGCTATGAAACCAATCCTCTGTCTCTCATTATGTCTTGCAGGGTTTATTTTTTTTTATAATGGTTTTGGATTTTATACAATGACGTTTTAGTTTCTTCCACATTTCTCAAATTTCAGGTCTGTGGGTTTGATCTTCTACGATCTGAGGGATGTTCATATGTTTGTGATGTAAATGGATGGAGTTTTGTCAAGAATTCTTACAAGTAAGCTAGCCTGTGCACTTCATTTGACTTTCTTAAGAATACTTTACAAGTTTAAAGTATATACTAAAACCTTTTGTACTATAAGGTATTACGACGATGCTGCTTGTGTGCTAAGAAAAATGTGTTTGGATGCAAAAGCTCCGCATCTTTCCTCGACTCTTCCTCCCACTTTGCCATGGAAGGTCAATGAACCTGTACAACCTAATGAAGGACTAACCCGCCAAGGCAGTGGCATCATAGGCACTTTTGGGCAATCAGAAGAGCTACGCTGTGTCATTGCTGTTATTCGACAGTAAGTTTTAGCTTATAGTCACCAGTCCCCTTTAGACTTCTCTCTGTTTATCCAGGATCTGAGAGTTCTAAACTTTTTTTTTATTTCACAGTGGCGATCGAACTCCCAAACAGAAGGTGAAACTAAAGGTTACAGAGGAAAAACTGTTAAACCTGATGTTGAAGTACAATGGTGGGAAGCCAAGAGCTGAGGTGAGAGGCTCGACTTCTCTATCATCAAGTTATTTCTGCTTATACTGTGTCAATTTATTCTCTCCTTTTACAGACCAAACTTAAAACTGCCGTCCAGTTGCAAGACCTATTAGATGCCACAAGAATGTTAGTTCCCCGTACAAGGTAGAACCCTGAACTAAACTATTTATGTTATTGTTAGAACATTTATGATGTTTCTGCGAGGCATTTTCCATTGAGCTACTTTCGCTGTAGATATTGCATTTCTGCTCAGAGCCCCTTTCCTTTTGTTCAAAGGGGATTTAGTTCAATCACATGGATGTTTTTTTTATTAAAAGTGTAACATGCTTTGTTTACTTCTGACAGTTGAATTCTCGTAATGACCTTATGATCTTCCTTTTTAATCTTTAGACCAGGTCGTGAAAGTGATAGTGATGCAGAAGACCTTGAACATGCGGAGAAGCTTCGGCAAGTTAAAGCAGTTCTTGAAGAGGTTGCGTGTCTTACTATATATACGTTCCAATTTCTTGTCCTTATTAAAGCAGAGTTCTGCGTGTTTGGGATTGGCTTTTCTTCCATGAGCTCTCTCTAATATTATAGTACTTTGATATGCAGGGTGGACATTTCTCTGGTATATACAGGAAAGTTCAACTGAAGCCGCTGAAGTGGGTTAAAATACCAAAAAACGATGGTGAAGGCGAAGATGAAAGACCAGTAGAGGCTCTTATGGTACTGAAATATGGGGGTGTTCTAACACACGCTGGTAGAAAGCAGGTATACTACCATTTACTCATTATTGTTAAATGTATTGCAACGAACAATTGTTTAAATAGGAATCCAGTTTGGTAGCTTCTCTAAATTTACTGAGGTTTGCTTCATCTGCAGGCGGAAGAACTAGGTAGATTCTTTCGAAACAATATGTATCCAGGTACATTCACTTTATCTGTTTTTATCTGATACCTTTCATCTGTCGCACACAAGTTTCTTAAGCAGTTTATTGTACTTCTGACGATTGATATCCTTTGTGAGCATTTCATGATCAAATGGCATAATATACTGGCAGGTGAAGGGACTGGTTTACTTCGTCTCCATAGTACATACCGTCATGACCTTAAAATTTACAGCTCTGACGAGGGACGTGTTCAGGTACAGCTTTACACTGTTAGTAGTGATGATGAGCATATGTCATTCAGATTTTTAACGTATTACAAGCGTCGCTACTCTTCACAGTTTGCAACAAAATATGTGACAGAAGACCAACTCTGGTTGGAATATTACTAACTGATTTGCACTGTTGACAGATGTCTGCAGCTGCTTTTGCTAAAGGCCTGCTTGACCTAGAAGGACAGCTGACGCCAATACTGGTTTTCTCTTTGATCTTACTGAGATCCCCTTGTGCTTTGCAATGTCATCATGTGTTCAAGGTCTTATCTATTTTCTCTAGGTTTCTTTGGTTAGCAAGGACTCTTCCATGTTGGATGGTCTTGATAATGCCAGCATTGAAATGGAAGCGGCCAAGGTTTACCCTTCTCTTTGATAAGTCATCTTTATTGTGTATAAATCACGTTTTTTGGCAATAGGTCTGAACCATGATTTCACTACTTGCACTGCAGGCTAGATTGAATGAGATTGTAACGTCTGGTACAAAGATGATACACGAGCATGGCTCCTCTGAAGAATTCCCTTGGATGACCGATGGAGCAGGACTTCCTCCAAATGCCCACGAACTCCTCCGTGAATTGGTACTCACACTTTTCCATCTACTGTTAGTTGATTACTAATCTGAAGCAGACCACCAACCGTTTTTAGTTTTGTTTGCGCAACAACTTAATAATCCATATTCATCTGAGCACTGTCGTAATCTTTGTGGCATTGCCTCTCATTTTGTGTTTGTTTTTTCCTTCCAATTTTTATCCATTATTGGAGACAACAAAGTTATTTCTCAAAGACAATTTAAATAATCAGGTGAAATTAACTAAGAATGTGACTGACCAAGTAAGACAACTTGCAATGGATGAGGACGAGAACCTCACTGAGCCATATGATATAATTCCTCCATATGATCAAGCAAAAGCCCTTGGCAAGACTAACATTGATAGTGATCGGATTGCTTCTGGATTACCGTGTGGTAGTGAAGGGTTCCTTCTGATGTTTGCTCGGTGGATAAAACTTGCAAGGGATCTCTACAATGAAAGAAAAGAGTAAGTTTTATCATCGAATTTTATTTTAGAAATGCTTTTCTAACTTTTATATCTGCTAGAGGCTTATGAGTGAGAGTAGCACTAATAGTTGAGTTTAACTTGCAGCCGATTTGACATCACGCAGATTCCGGATGTCTATGATTCATGCAAGTAAGTTATACGTTAGATGTCTTTGGTTTATCTCTAATTTACATCTAGCTGTAGTTAATCGTTTCTGAATAAGCTGTAATACTTTTTATCTTGACCAGGTACGACCTGTTGCATAATTCTCATCTGGATCTAAAAGGATTAGATGAACTCTTCAAAGTTGCACAGGTACATTATTTTCCTTTTCTGAATCTCTTATTAGAGTTTGCAACTGGCCATGTGTGATTGTAACTATGACTTGTGGTAGATCTTTAATATGCATGCATTGTTGACTATGTTCGCTCATGACTAAGTATTTTGCTATGTGGTTACAGCGGCTTGCAGATGGTGTAATCCCAAATGAGTATGGAATCAATCCGCAACAAAAGCTTAAAATTGGTTCGAAGGTGACATTTTTTCTAGCTACGAGTAGTTATTTTCTGATTATCCATATTGCTCCAAAGGATCTCACATCTTATCATATCTATTTTTCTAAAGATTGCTCGGCGGTTAATGGGGAAAATCTTGATAGACTTGAGGAACACTCGAGAGGAAGCATTGAGTGTTGCTGAATTGAAAGAAAGCCAAGAACAAGTCACTCGAGAAGAAGCGATGAGTGTTGCTGAATTGAAAGAAAGCCAAAAACAAGCCGCCTTGTCATTATCTGCCTCGAAAAAGGAAGATAGAAATAGTCAGCCCAAGCTTTTTATCAATAGCAGCGATGATTTGAGACGACCCGGCACAGGTGATAAAGATGAAGATGATGATAAAGAAACTAAATACCGATTAGATCCAAAGTAATAATAGCCTCTGCTTCTACAGATTATTTTCTTCTTCTTTTCTTGGTTTCTGCATATTACTTGAGTGTAGTCTACTAATTGCTTTCATTTTCTGTTAGGTATGCAAATGTCAAGACACCTGAACGTCATGTGAGGACTCGACTATACTTCACATCTGTAAGTTTCCTCTTTTCTCCATCCCTTGTTATGGTGTACAAGTGTGTATGTGACTGACATTCTTTGAAATTGATTGGAACAGGAATCGCATATTCATTCGCTGATGAACGTACTTAGATACTGTAACCTGGACGAATCACTTGAAGGAGAGGAAAGTCTCATCTGCCAAAACGCATTGGAACGTCTTTGCAAAACAAAGGAACTCGATTACATGAGCTACATTGTCCTAAGGCTCTTTGAAAACACCGAGGTTCACCCTACATTTCCTTCCACTCTCACATCACATGCTTCAACATCTGATAATATATTAGTCTAAATGAAAATATAATTTTTTTGGTTGCAGGTATCACTTGAAGACCCCAAGAGGTTCCGGATTGAACTTACATTCAGCCGTGGAGCTGATTTGTCTCCCTTGGAGGTAAAGAAGAGCCATTATTGTTTTTGTTTTTAACGTCTAGAGAAACTTGAATTTTTGAAAAATATAATTTAATATGTTGTGAGGGACAGAATAATGACGACGAGGCAGAGTCATTGCTAAGGGAACACACGCTTCCGATAATGGGACCAGAGAGGCTGCAAGAGGTTGGTTCATGTTTAACACTGGAGACTATGGAGAAAATGGTTCATCCGTTTGCTATGCCACCTGAAGATTTCCCTCCGGCCTCGACTCCGGTTGGTTTCTCAGGTTACTTCTCCAAAAGCGCCGCCGTGCTCGAGCGTCTAGTTAACCTGTTCCACAACTACAAGAACTCTTCTTCCAACGGAAAAAGCTGAAGGGAATACATCCCATATTTTTACTTTTTCTTTCTCTCTGAAACTTGATAATGATTTTGTCTTTGTGCAGTTAAAATCATTGTTCTTACTTTTTGTTTCCCTACATGTTTCAGTTTTTACCTTTTCTCCACAAATTGCTATTAAATGTTTCTATATTTTCTCGCGGGTACTAGTTCTTTCTTTAGTTCTTTAGTGGTGTGTCTCTCTGTTTTTGAGGTTAGATGTCTGCCGGCTTTATATTTCAACAACAAAATTAAAATACTCAAGTTATTGGCCGACCACCGAATAAAGAAAGTGTAATGATTTTTCATTTCAAGGTAAAACTGATTTTACGTAATGTTGTTAATCCTTTCCCTTTTGTAAATGGGGTAAGCTTCACTTATATCGAAAAAGTGAAAATGAAAAGCAATATGATTAGGAGTTTCTTTTCCAAAAAAAAAAAGCATAGAGGAACAACTAAATCAAACATAGAGATACATTTTAAGACAAAATTTGAAGAGATTTTAAAGTATTAAATGGATTGACCAAACAAAATTATTACTAATAGATTAGATGGGGATACAAATTTGAATAAGTCGAGTAATTGGAAGAGTTAAATGTAAATGAAACGACTTATTCTTGAAAATGAAAAAGGATTAAAAAAGTAATAATGATGACAAAACAAAGTACTACATCTGTTGTTTGTTTATAAAATGTGATTATAGAAGGAATGGGGTATATATGTTGCTCAATAATTAAAAAAAAAAAGAAGATAATTCGTAAATTGGGGGGATACGAAAACTGCGTTTTGTAGCTGTTGAGAGCTAAAGCAAACAAACACATAGCTCTCTCTCTCTCTCTCTTGACCGCTTTGCCCCTTCTTTCTTATTCTCTCCAATCTCCATAGACATCAATTCCTTTTGTTTTGACTAAAATTCTCTCTGCTTTTTTTCCTTCTAAGTGAATCTTATTTCTTCTCTATACACCAAAATCGCCTTCTTTCGGAACTCTCTAAGTGTTGTAGCGTTTCTGTCGTAATCTGATCAAGTTGTTTTTTTCGGGGGATGAGTTCATTAGATTCCGTCAAAGTTATGGAGGATTGGCAATCTAATGAGACTGACAAGCAGAAGAAGAGGAAGAAGAAGAAGAAGAAGAATGTGAGAAACAAGAGTAGTGATGGCGAAGAAGAAGAAGAAAATGGGGGATGTTGGATCAAATTAAGAGTCATGCTTTGTTGTGTAGCTTCAACATCAGACTTTGATTCCCCTCTCAGCGCCTCTACAACCTCTCGTATGTTCTTCTTTTAGTTACTGCAGTTCGAGCTCCATGTTTAGGGGTCGGTTATTCAGTTAAAGAAAAGACTTTCCTTTTGGGATTGAATCTTCTCTAACTGGCACAAGACTCTTGTATTCTCTCATCTACGGTTTTCTTTGACAATTTGAGCTAAATGTCATTGTGGTTGCTTTACCTAACTTTGACAAAAAAAAATGAATTTGAGCTTCTTTACTACTTTGATGCTACTCCAAATTAAAAAAAAAAGAATCTGCCCTTTGTTTAATGTTGTTATGTTTTATGTGATATCATGTCCTTTAGTTAGATCCATTACAATGTGTACAAGGAAAGTTTTTTCCTTTTACTAGAAACCAATTTAGGAAGGACATTTTAATGATAGATTTTTTTGTTTTTCTTTAAACAGTGGGAAGTAAGTCTCCAATTCTGAAATCAAATGATCAACCTGCTGGTCCTGTTTCTTCTTCTACAACGACTAGCTATGCTGAAAGCTCTCTGTCCACTCCAATGATTAGTGAAGAACTCAACATCTATTCTCACCTCAAGAAGTTTTCTTTCATTGATCTCAAGCTGGCAACTAGAAACTTCAGACCCGAAAGTCTTCTTGGTGAAGGTGGGTTTGGTTGTGTCTTTAAAGGATGGGTCGAGGAGAACGGCACTGCTCCTGTTAAGCCTGGCACTGGTCTTACTGTCGCCGTCAAAACCTTAAATCCTGATGGCCTCCAGGGTCATAAAGAGTGGCTTGTAAGAAGTTGATCCTTTCTTCTCCATGTATCTTCTTTCACTGTTTTAAACACAAACACAGCTAAAGGTTTCTGTATGGTGATCTTTGTAGGCTGAGATTAACTATCTGGGTAATCTTCTCCATCCCAATCTTGTTAAACTGGTGGGCTATTGTATCGAAGATGATCAACGGCTCCTGGTGTATGAGTTTATGCCTCGTGGAAGTTTGGAGAATCACCTTTTCAGAAGTAAGTCAAAACAATTACAGCCTTCGTAATCTACATACGCTGTAAATGTTTAAGAGCTTAAAGATACTCCATATTCTTTCTTCTGAGTTATATAATTGGTGTTAAAATCTTTTTCTTTCTGGAATTGAACTCGTGCTTTGTGCTCAAGGGTCGTTGCCTCTTCCATGGTCAATTCGGATGAGGATTGCATTAGGTGCTGCAAAGGGTCTCAGTTTCCTTCACGAAGAAGCTCTAAAGCCAGTTATATATCGGGATTTCAAAACCTCCAACATCTTACTAGATTCAGTATGTTCCCTTTCTTACTTTACTTTGACATATATAGTAGTTATAGGCCAGTCCTTACTTCTAAACCTTTTTATCGATATCCCCCAATCTCAGGACTACAATGCGAAACTATCAGATTTTGGGCTTGCCAAAGATGCTCCTGATGAAGGCAAAACCCATGTCTCTACTCGAGTCATGGGCACTTATGGTTACGCTGCTCCTGAGTATGTTATGACTGGTTAGTCTTTTTTTTTTTTTTTTTTTTTCATTCACTCTCTGTTAGCCGTGATATGTTTGAAGCTGTAACTTTTTTTTTTCTTCGGCTTGGTGAGTTAGGAGATTATATATATAACTTACAGAGACTGTTCTCTTCACTATGCCTATAGGTCACTTGACATCAAAGAGCGATGTTTATAGTTTCGGTGTGGTTCTACTCGAAATGCTTACTGGCAGAAGATCTATGGACAAAAACCGACCAAACGGGGAACACAACCTCGTGGAATGGGCAAGACCGCATCTCCTTGACAGGAGAAGATTCTACAGGCTACTTGATCCGAGGCTGGAGGGTCATTTCTCCATCAAAGGAGCTCAAAAAGTGACTCAGCTTGCAGCTCAATGCCTTAGCCGTGACTCCAAGATCAGACCCAAAATGAGTGAAGTGGTAGAGGTCCTTAAGCCACTCCCACATCTAAAAGACATGGCTAGCTCTTCTTACTACTTCCAAACAATGCAAGCCGAGAGATTGAAAGCTGGGTCAGGGTCGGGTCGTGGGTTCGGATCAAGAAACGGGCAACCTGTGTTAAGGACTCAGTCTAGTCCTCATGGCCAAGCTGGTTCTTCACCTTATCGTCATCAGATTCCGTCTCCTATGCCCAAAGGTACAACTACATAAGATTTTGGTCCTGGAAGCTATCTCATTTCCTTAAGGGGCTCTTTCTTGTATCGCAAGAAAACGTCTATTCTATTGTTAACCGATTTAGAGAAAGGGCCAGTTGTGGTGTATGATTGATCTGGAAGTCGTGGACTTACCTTTTGTAACCTCGTGTTTCTTTGTCTATCGTATTCTTTAACCGCGTAATATTATTACCACCACTCGCTATTAGTCGTTTAGCACACACTATACAAACTAACCACTATGTGTCATAACTTATAAGTGATAAACCTCATTTCATTTAAGTTTACGGACCCAAAAAATCAATTCCGAAAACAAAGTCGAGTAGATGGCAACACAGTGGCAAGCAAAGAAAAAGGATCTCTAGTGTTTCATCTTATCACCAAAGACAAACCATCTTTTTTATTACTCTCTTCTAACAAATCCAACAAGAAAAATGGGAAAAAGGATTCTTGGCTCTTTATCAAGGCTTGAGAGAGAGAGCCAATCCAACCTTAGCACTCTTGTCGATGGCCTTAGTGTCAACTTCTCCAGAGATAGTGAAGAAGGACCTGGGAGACCACTCGTGTTGAATGAGTGCATTAGCAATCCCCGCACTGTTCACACGTGCTTTCACCATGGTCAAGGGGTCAAGCGAGTGCTGTGTTCCCACGGTTATGGTGTTGATTTTGGTAGAGAACTTGTGGTTCACTTCAGCTCCAACAGCAGTGTTGAAAAGCGGGTTAACAATGTGGTAGTATGAGGCGTTGATTGAATCTCCTTTGTCATTCCTAAACAAACAACAATATTATTTTACTGATTAGAAGAACCACAACTATCATCCAGATTGGTCAGAAGAAATTCACTTACAGGGTAAGGGAAGCAATTAAATCATCCTTGGTGAAGTTGAGGCCAGCATTGATCTTGGTGAAATTGGATGATTTGGTGTCGAAGGAGACGTCAGTACCAAGAGCCAACACATTGTTGCCAATAACACCGGAGAAGTTGACAGTGGGATTCTGAGTCAATCCCATGCTGGTGCTGATACCAGCGTAGTCATGCAAATACTGAAGCTCAATCTGTTTGAAACACCATAATTAAAAAAGAAGAAGTTAGAATTATCCAAATAAAACAAAGTGTGTTAGAATGACCAAACATAAGTGTGTAAGATGGGTTGAAAAGGAAAGGAATGAAGGAATACCTTGCCGGAGTTCTGGTCAGGGGCCCTGAAGCTGAAGATGGACTTCAATCCAGGGGCAGCCTCATCAACGGTAGCAGTGATCAAAGCCTGAAACAAATAAATAATAATAATATATGTTAAAAAGGATGAAACAAGGAAGGTAAAAAAAAGAAGAAGGACATTACGGTATTGTCAGTGGAAACTCTGAAATCGGTGGTGATGTTTTTTTGCTTGAGTTGAAAAGATACATCTCCCAATAGTGATTCACCTTTCTTAGTTCCAGTCGATGTGATGGACTAAGATTGATTGTAACAGAGGCAAAGAAAAAGAAAGCTAATCAATAAAACAAAAGAAGAGCTCATTGTATGTATTAACATCATCAGATCAGTTGCAAGAATAGAAAGCTTACAACACCGGCAGGAGAGTAGGTGGTGATACTCAATTTCTGGTCGCTGTTGTGGTCCTTGTACAGCAGATCTGCACATAACAACGCATATCAATCCTAAGAAACCTAGTATACCACTATCAGATAGCACAAAACAGAATCATCCCAATCAAATGGTTAAAAAAAAGAAGCAAAGGTTCACCTCTGGCTTTTTTGCCGATGTCGGTGTAGAGACCTGGTCCTTTCCCCATTGTTTTTTTTTTGCCTTCTCTGATAGTTGATAGCTCGAGAAAGAGTCTGAGAATCGCAAGCCTACTACACACGAAGAAGATGAAGAAACTGTGGCGTCTACAAAAGACAGAAGAAAGCCCTAGTTATTATCAGCCGTTGGATCCACACTTGTTTCCCTCATCTGCAGCCGTCCAAATATTTTTATTTTTATATTCCCACTCATCTTATACTAAACCTTATTTTATTTCTCGTGCTCTCTTCTGTATTAAACTAGGCCTTCGGGTCACGATTTTCGGATTTTGGTTCTATTTTGTAACATTCCTAGATTCCATTTTAGTAAATATGCAAATATGAATTGGACTCAGATATAACATATCGGTTTCGGATCGATTTTGTATCACATCCCATAAAATAATCATATATCGTTTGGATTCAGATTATATCGGATCAGTTCAGATATATCCGAAGTAAAATCCAAAATTTAAAAGCAAAACATGAAAAAAATATACTTATTCATATGTAATTGAATATTTAAGGTACTTATTTAAAATTTTAAATATTTATTGTTAGATATCATATTAAAATAAATAGGAAATTGAATATTTAAAGTATATATTTATGTTTTATATATTTATACTGTATATTAATTTGGATATTCGGATCGGTTTATTCGGATATTTTTTCGGATTTTTGGGTTTAATTTAACCGGCTAATCAAACGGTTTATTCACTGATTAGCCAATTTCTCTCAAACAAACCCATGTCGTTTGTTTGGATATGAATCATTGTTTCGCCATTATTTGTCTTATCGCTGTGTTAGGACCATGCATTATGTAGACTCATTATACAACTCTGTTTGTATGATCCAATATCATTGATGTTGTTAATTAGCAAAATGGTTACATGTTTTTTTTTTAAGTATGGCTTTTACAGATAATTAAACCAGACGTGACAAGCATTCTATCATTTTTACTACTTTTAGATGCATATGACAACTATAAACTATAACGTACATGGTTACCGTTGCTAAAATTGGTTGAAAACAGTGAGAAAACAGTAACGCTTCTCTCTTTATAGAAGCATCCACATATAGAAGAAGTACAAGGAGACAAAAAGAAACAGTTAATTACTAAAGAAAGAGAAACAGAGAAACCTGTCCACAAGTATCTCATGGTGGCTTTCCATACACAACGGGAAAAAACTTTCTAAACTTAGAAATTAACTTCCTTCATCAGTTTTTCTATTTATAATTATTTAAAGACCAACCTTCACGTTTGTCAAACTTTGCAATACGTTTCACGTTAGGCCAAACAGAAAAAACAACCTAACTCCATGTTAAAAGCTTAGCAGTTCTCCATATATATATATTTTAAATATATATATAAAAAGATTACCCCTTTGAGAAAGAAAAAAAGAACTAATAAGAATTGTTCTTTTTTTCTCTAGAAAAAAGGGTAATCAAATAAAATAATGGAGACTGCTAGGCTTTTCATGTTAGTGTGTGTGATATGTATTGCCAGTTTGATTCCGACCTTACGAGCCAATGTTGCGGAGACCACTGATGATGGGTATTGGGTAAAAATGGCCAACGAAGCTCGTAAACGTACCCTTATGGCTTATCATCCTGATCCTTATCAGATTGTGGACCACTTCCACGAGCGTCATTACGAGTAACTCCCTTACTCTATGTTCTTTATGACATGCATTCACGATATAATATATAGTGTTTTGTTATACTATTTTTTTTTCTTACAAAAATACTGATTTAGGGTTTATGATGGGTTTGGTTTTTTTGTGAAAATGATCTTCAGCAACTCTACTGATGTTGAGGAGACGGAGGAACACGCTTCCGAGGAAGAGGAAGACATTGAGATGATTTCTAATCCGACGAACAGCACAAGACGGAGCCTAAGAGGTAGACGTAAAAGAAGAGGAAAAGGAAAATGGAGCAAGCTAAAGGGACCTTGCACTGCAAGCAACCCCATCGATAAATGCTGGCGTTGCAATCCTCATTGGGCTAGGCGTCGCAAGAACCTCGTCAAGTGTGTTCGTGGTTTCGGTTACAAGACCACAGGAGGCAAACGTGGTCGTCTCTACGTGGTCACAAGCAACAGAGATGATGACACGGTGAACCCTAGACCCGGAACACTGCGTCACGCTGTGATTCAGAACGAACCGCTCTGGATCATTTTCAAGCACGATATGAGCATTAGGCTGTGCCAAGAGCTAATGATTAATAGTCACAAGACGATCGATGCTCGTGGCACTAACGTGCACATCGCATATGGTGCTGGGATCACGATGCAGTACGTGCATAACATCATCATCCATGGGCTCCACGTCCACCACATCGTCCAGAGCAGCGGTGGTATGATAAGAAACTCTAATGACCACTTTGGGTTTAGAGGAGAGGCCGATGGAGATGGTATCTCTATCTTTGGAGCATCAAACATTTGGCTTGACCACATTTCTATGTCTAAATGCCAAGATGGTCTCATCGACGCTATAATGGGCTCCACCGGGATCACTATCTCTAACTCTCATTTCACCCACCACAACGATGTGAGTATGCCAACCCACTAAATGCCTAGCTAGTAGATTGTGTCTAATTGATATATGGAGTTTTAAAGACAACTTAAAAAAAAAAAAAAAATTAATGAACATGTTATTTTGTTTTTTTTTTTTTGGTGTTTAGGTGATGTTGCTTGGTGCACAAAATGACAACCACGATGACAAGAAGATGCAAGTCACTGTGGCTTTCAACCACTTTGGTAAAGGACTTGTGCAGAGGATGCCGAGGATTCGGTGGGGTTTCGTCCATGTTGTTAACAATGACTACACTCATTGGCAGCTTTACGCTATCGGGGGTAGCCAAAGTCCTACCATTCTCAGCCACGGAAACCGTTTCATCGCTCCTCCTCACATACAGCAGTACAGAGAGGTAAACCCCAAAGGCTTGATGTGACTTTGATAAATGTTCTGAGGGATGAATTTTTGCACGAAATATTTTTTTTGAACTAAGAGAAAGATGTGTGTGTATAGGTGACAAAGAGGGATTCTGCTCCAGAATCGGAGTGGAAAAACTGGAATTGGAGATCCGAGAAAGACATTTTCATGAACAATGCATATTTCAGACAATCTGGAAACCCAAAGTTCATGTGTTCACACTCTAGACAACAGATGATAAAGCCCAAACATGGTGTTGCCGTTTCAAAGCTTACCAAATACGCCGGAGCATTGGATTGCCGGGTCGGAAAACCATGCTAAACATATTGCTCACCATTACTTGTTTTTTTTTTTCTTCTCTTGTATCTAGGCCAAAATCTTTAAAAGAAAATCATGGGGTAAAAATTTGAAGTAAGTCTAATTTATGAAGATTTTTGTCTAAAGAATGAATGCGAACGTGGCACGATACTTTGTAACTCTATTCTGTTAATCTGTATTACATTTGTTGTGTATGTTTCTTTGGTTGTGCTCGCCATAATTTGTTTTAATGCATAGATTCATCATTCACTGATATAGTATAAAGATTAAAGAGGTTTGAGACCTTATGTATTCTTGTTTATCTAGAATATAATATTTTTATAGGGGTTAGTCCACTAATTAGGTCGTATATGAAGTTCAAATAAATTACTTGTTAGAAAATTAGAAATGATGCCCATCTACCATGAAAATATGTTTAGTATACATCAATATGCATTAAGAGTGTGGTTTTTTATTTAAAACAACATTAAAGAGGCTAAACTTTAGTATATATAACATTTATCGAAAAATTCAATCTTTTCGTAGGGGTTAACCCACATATTTCAAAGAAAACTAAAAAATATGATATTTTTTTTCATGCATAGATGCATCATTCACTGACATATTATGAAGATTAAAGAGGTTTGAGACCTTATGTGTTCCCATTTTTCTATAAAAAGAGATTTTATAGGGATTATTCCGCTAATTATGTCGTATATGTAGTTTAATTAAGTTACTTGTTGGAAAAGAAATGATGCCCATGTACCTTGAAAATATGTTTAGTATACATCAATATGCATTTAGAGTGTGGTTTTATATTTTTAAAACAACATTCAAGAGGCTAAACTTAAGTATATATAATATTTATCAAAACAATTCAATCTTTTCGTAGGGGTTGTTAACCCACATACTTCAAAGAAAACTAAAAAAAAATGATATTTTTGTTTTAATGCATAGATGCATCATGCACTGACATAGTATGAAGATTAAAGAGGTTTGAGACCTTATGTGTTCCCATTTTTCTATAAAATAGAGATTTTATAGGGGTTAGTCCACTAATTAGGTTGTATATGAAGTTTAAATAAATTACTTGTTAGAAAATTAGAAATGATGCCCCTCTACCATGAGAATATGTTTTGTATACATAAATATGCATTTAGAGTGTGGTTTTATATTTTTAAAACAACATTAAAGAGGCTAAACTTTAGTATATATAACATTTAGTGAAAAATATAATCTTTACCTAGGGTTTAACCCACATATTTTAAAGAAAACTAAAAAATGTTATTTTTGTTTTAATGCATAGATTCATCATTCACTGACATAGTATAAAGATTAAATATGTTTGAGACCTTATGTGTTCCCGTTTATCTAGAAAATAATGTTTTTATGGGGGTTAGTCCACTAATTAGGTCGTATATGAAGTTCAAATAAATTACTTGTTAGAAAATTAGAAATGATGCCCCTCTACCACGAGAATATGTTTAGTATACATCAATATGCATTAAGAGTGTGGTTCAATATTTTTAAAACAACATTAAAGAGGCTAAACTTTAGTATATATAACATTTATCGAAAAATTCAATCTTTTCGTAGGGGTTAACCCACATATTTCAAAGAAAACTAAAAAATATGATATTTTTTTTTCATGCATAGATGCATCATTCTTTGACATAATATGAAGATTAAAAAGGTTTGAGACCTTATGTGTTCCCATTTTTCTNTTTTAAAACAACATTAAAGAGGCTAAACTTTAGTATATATAACATTTATCGAAAAATTCAATCTTTTCGTAGGGGTTAACCCACATATTTCAAAGAAAACTAAAAAATATGATATTTTTTTTTCATGCATAGATGCATCATTCTTTGACATAATATGAAGATTAAAAAGGTTTGAGACCTTATGTGTTCCCATTTTTCTCTAAAAAGAGATTTTATAGGGGTTAGTCCACTAATTATGTCGTATATGAAGTTTAATTAAGTTACTTGTTGGAAAATTAGAAATGAGGCCCATGTACCTTGAAAATATGTTTAGTATACATCAATATGCATTTAGAGTGTGGTTTTATATTTTTAAAACAACATTCAAGAGGCTAAACTTTAGTACATATAACATTTATCGAAAATTTCAATCTTTTCGTAGGGGTTAACCCACATACTTCAAAGAAAACTAAAAAAAAAATGATATTTTTTTAATGCATAGATGCATCATGCACTGACATAGTATGAAGATTAAAGAGGTTTGAGACCTTATGTGTTCCCATTTTTCTATAAAATAGAGATTTTATAGGGGTTAGTCTACTAATTAGGTTGTATATGAAATTTAATTAAATTACTTGTTGGAAAATTAGAAATGATGCCCATGTACCTTGAAAATATGTTTAGTATACATCAATATGCATTTAGAGTGTGGTTTTATATTTTTAAAACAACATTAAAGAGGCTAGACATTAGTACATATAACATTTATCGAAAAATTCAATCTTTTCGTAGGGGTTAACCCACATATTTCAAAGAAAACTAAAAAACATGATTTTTTTTTTCATGCATAGATGCAGCATTCACTGACATATTATGAAGATTAAAGAGGTTTGAGACCTTATGTGTTCCCATTTTTCTATAAAAAGAGATTTTATAGGGGTTAGTCCACTAATTATGTCATATATGAAGTTTAATTAAGTTACTTGTTGGAAAATTAGAAATGATGCCCATGTACCTTGAAAATATGTTTAGTATACATCAATATGCATTTAGAGCGTGGTTTTATATTTTTAATTTGTTTAGTATACATCAATATGCATTTAAAAATAAAAAACCACACTCTTAATGCATATTGATGTATACTAAACATATGCATCAATATGTTTAGTATATTTTTAATATATGTTTAGTATATCTTTTTCCGTAGGGGTTTACCCACATATTTCAAAGAAAACTAAAAAATATGATTTTTAATGCATAGATACATCATGCACTGACATATTATGCAGATTAAAGAGGTTTCAGACCTTATGTGTTCCCATTTTTCTATGAAATAGAGATTTTATAAGGGTTAGTCCACTAATTAGGTCGTATATGAAATTTAATTAAATTACTTGTTGGAAAATTAGAAATGATGCCCATGTACCTTGAACATATGTTTAATATACATCAATATGCATTTAGAGTGGGGTTTTATTTTTTTAAAACAACATTAAAGAGGCTAAACTTTAGTACATATAACATTTATCGAAAAATTCAATCTTTTCGTAGGGGTTAACCCACATATTTCAAAGAAAACTAAAAAATATGATATTTTTTTTCATGCATAGATGCATCATTCACTGACATATTATGAAGATTAAAGAGGTTTGAGACCTTATGTGTTCCAATTTCTCTATAAAAAGAGATTTTATAGGGTTTAGTCCACTAATTATGTCGTATATGAAGTTTAATTAAGTTACTTGTTGGAAAATTAGAAATAATGCCCATGTACTTTGAAAATATGTTTAGTATACATAATTATGCATTTAGAGTGTGGTTTTATATTTTTAAAACAACATTCAAGAGGCTAAACTTAAGTATATATAACATTTGATGAAAAATTCAATCTTCCTGTAAGGATTAACCCACATATTTCAAAAAAACTAAAAAATATGATAATTTTGTTTTCATGCATAGATGCATCATTCACTAACATAGTATAAAGATTAAAGAGGTTTGAGACCTTATGTGTTCCCGTGTATCTAGAAAATAGAGAATTTATAGGGGTTCGTCCACTAATTAGGTCGTATATGAAGTTTAAATAAATTACTTGTTAGAAAATTAGAAATGATGCCCATCTTCCATGAAAATATGTTTAGTATACATCAATATGCATTAAGAGTGCGGTTTTTGTTTTAAAACAACATTAAAGAGGCTAAACTTTAGTATATATAACATTTATCGAAAAATTCAATCTTTTCGTAGGGGTTAACCCACATATTTCAAAGAAAACTAAAAAATATGATNTACTTGTTAGAAAATTAGAAATGATGCCCATCTTCCATGAAAATATGTTTAGTATACATCAATATGCATTAAGAGTGCGGTTTTTGTTTTAAAACAACATTAAAGAGGCTAAACTTTAGTATATATAACATTTATCGAAAAATTCAATCTTTTCGTAGGGGTTAACCCACATATTTCAAAGAAAACTAAAAAATATGATTTTTTTTCATGCATAGATGCATCATGCACTGACATATTATGAAGATTAAAGTGGTTTGAGACCTTATGTGTTCCCATTTTTCTATAAAATAGAGATTTTATAGGGGTTAGTCCACTAATTAGGTTGTATATGAAATTTAATTAAATTACTTGTTGGAAAATTAGAATTGATGCCCATGTAACTCGAAAATATGTTTAGTATACATCAATATGCATTTAGAGTGTGGTTTTATATTTTTAATTTGTTTAGTATACATCAATATGCATTTAAAAATAAAAAACCACACTCTTAATGCATATTCATGTATACTAAACATATGCATCAATATGTTTAGTATATTTTAGTATATCTTTTCGTAGGGGTTAACCCACATATTTCAAAGAAAACTAAAAAATATGATTTTTTTAATGCATAGATACATCATGCACTGACATATTATGCAGATTAAAGAGGTTTGAGACCTTATGTGTTCCCATTTTTCTATAAAATAGAGATTTTATAAGGGTTAGTCCACTAATTAGGTCGTATATGAAATTTAATTAAATTACTTGTTTGAAAATTAGAAATGATGCCCATGTACCTTGAACATATGTTTAATATACATCAATATGCATTTAAAGTGGTTTTATATTTTTAAAACAACACTAAAGAGGCTAAACTTAAGTACATATAACATTTATCGAAAAATTCAATCTTTTCGTGGGGGTTAACCCACATATTTCAAAGAAAACTAAAAAATATGATATTTTTTTTCATGCATAGATGCATCATTCACTGACATATTATGAAGATTAAAGAGGTTTGAGACCTTATGTGTTCCCATTTTTCTATAA